CCTGCGTCTATAAAACCATCTGCCTGCTTGCATAAGAGGACAGGTGGTTTGTGATGGACTGCAAACACACACACACACACACACACACACACACACACACACACACACACATAAACACACACACACAGGCTAATTAAACATTTACTGTGGAGACTGTACTTTGAGCACACAATCCTCAAATTCACTCAGAGGAATTAAACTGTAGCAAAACACTTTTGCGCTACAATAAAAGTTGTCTGTTAGGATTATGTGTTGCTTGTAAAATGTAGAATATTACAGGCAGAAGCTTGGTACATGTCATCTTGATGTACTTTTAGCAAATATTCTCTACAGATGTGTCCTTTAGTTTGTTGGTTTAATTCATTCATAAACATACCGCTGAAGAATATGAATTTACGACCATGGGAAGAACGATTGTAAATTCAAAAACAATACGCCGAACACTGTTCCTCGTATTAACAACAAAGTCCATGCTCAATAATCCAGGTATACAATCCAACATTTTTCAGTCAGGTTCGGTGTATTGTTTTTGTACTACTTGTGCTTAGCGTGGGCAGCGCGGTGGTGCAACTGGTAGAGCTGTTGCCTCTCAGCGAGTAGGTCCCCAGTTCAAATCCCAGTCCAGGGGTCTTTCTGGGTGGAGTTTGCATGTTCTCTCCGTGCATGTGTGAGTTTTCTCTGGGTTTTCTTCAGGTTTCCTCCCACAGACCAAAAACATGCATGTTAGACTTATTGATAACTCTAAATTGTCTCTAGGTGTGAGTGAGAGAGTGAATGGTTGTTTGTCTCATTTGTCTCTCTGTGTCCCTGTGATGGACTGGAGACCTGTCCAGGGTGTCCCCCGCCCCTCACACAGTGACTGCTGGACATGGACCCCCGTGACCCAAAATGGAAGAAGCGGGTAAAAGATAATGGATGGATGGAATCCTTGAACACAATTTATTTGATCAGATCATGGAAAGAACTATCAGCAAGAAAAAACACACGTTTCTACTAAATTAAAAAGTAAATTTCATTAGAATCTAAAGTTTTCATTCAGTCAAAGACAAAAGGGGCAAACCTTGCCTTGTCTGTCCATGTGTGTGTTTGTGTAAAGTGTTAACAAAATATTATGAATCACAGGATAAATTTTAATGACGGTCTAAGTTAATAATCATTGCTCATCTAACTGATTGAAGTTATTCCGATTCAAGACCACAGCTACAAATTAGTGACCTTAGTAAACACAAACATCAACAACTCAGTCAGTTTTATGGATAATAAACTAAACTTTAGTGTGTTACTATCTGAGACTGATCCCCAACTTATACTCTGAGTGTTCTGATCACACATGATCGGTTCTTACGAAAAATCATTAACTACTGAAGTCAACTCTGTGAGTCTGTTGGCAAATTATCATGTGAACCATTTGATGACTTTCAATGAAACTCTTAGTAAATAATCACTGGTTGCACATCAGCAACTGGTCAACTTCTGAAGTCCCCCTCATTCAAACTGACCACAGCAGCCAATTCTAATTACCAAACTACATACAGTATATAAAAGTATATAAAAGTCAGTCAGTTGAGCTAAAGTTCAATGTGGTAGTAGCTGAGAGTCATCTTCAACACAAACTTCAAGTTAACAGATCTCTTAACGTCACATAAAATTGTGCTTAACGTCATTTGCAAGATTTGACCAGAACATCCCAACTCAGCAAAAGATGATTTGAGTTTAAAACTCGGGCGTAAAAGGCTGAAGGCGATCCACGTTCCCTAAAGGAATGTTAATTAGGTGTTTTAGATTGATTTGAAATGGTTAATTAATGGTTATTCTGGTTACCAAAGAAACAAAACATAAATGTGTGAAAACACCTACATGTTTTTAGAATCTTAAACTTTAAATTAGACACTTATATGAAAATCACAGATGTGTTTTAGAAGTGACCTTTAAGATGTTTCTTCATAGTCAACCCGCTCCGAACAGATTATGTTGATAAAAGATCTCTGACAAACCTAAAGTGGAGTGAAGACATCGGATGCAAAACTGAGCTGAAAGACAAATCTGAGGAATGAGTCCAGAAACTTTCTGCCGTGTAAAGAAGCAAAAAGCATAAAACTGTCTATCATTTCAAAATACATAAAGTTTAAAACAAGCAACGGACTTCTGGCAGGTCAAACTAAGAAATCACAAGAGACCAACACTCGTTACAGGAAGTCAGCTGAGAAACCAGACAGAAATGACTTCTGAGACGTACAACGAGCTGCTTTGAGGTACGGCAGAAGATGTGAAGCTCTGTGAATAACTCATTTTGAGAAAGAGAACCAAAATCCTCAGATTTGATAATAAACAACAAAAGATTGATCTATTCAGACATAATCTCAGGCGATGAGGAAGCTGGGCGCTGAGCTTCGCCTCATTAACACCATCAGCTCAGTCGAACACAGCACAGCATCACTCGGAGATGCTTTTCTGCAGGCGAGGCAGAGACACAACTAGAAAAGAGCAAGACAAGGGGGGGAAAATGGATTTCTGTTTGAAGATGTTTGTGCAGCATGTGGGACAACTCTGTGAACGTTTTGGAGTTCAGTTTAAACTTGACCCATCAGAAAGAACAGGGGTTTTGCACTGATGGTCTGCTTTTTCAACTGAGCTGAACTAGAATGTTCCTGGAAAAAAAAAAAAAAAAGCAAACTTCACAAAGGAACGATGAGCCAGGAAACTTATTGTCTATTTTTACTCATGTAAAAGTGATATTTTTGTGTAGTATTTTAAAGAATCTTGAAAAAGTGTTTCATGTATCATAAACGATCGACAAATATTACAAAACCTGTATGCAATGTGTATTTTGAAGAATGGACAATCATCTGAAACATTTATTTTTACAATCAGCCTCTTCTGTGAAGTGTATTAATAAAATCCCCTTTAATTTGAATTATTTTGCCTCCAAGGTGATTGCATAACAAGTTTGTTTTGTAGTTGATGAAACGCCATAAAAGCTTTTTACATTAATCTCATAAGTCCAGTCAGCCTTCAAACCTCGTCTCTCATGTTTTGTTCCTCCTGTCTCCTCCCTCACCGTGTGAATATCTTTGCTTTAGGGATATATTTGCCATGCTTCGGCCCTTTTTCCTTCATTTTAATGATGCACTTGGCAACATGGAAACACCGAGCGCTCCCTCTGACCTGCACACACACTTTCACACCAATTTGATTTCATTTTCTGCAGCATGTTTCCTCTCCTGCTGACCGCTTTACAGTCTGAGCAGTAAAATTAATAATCGCCAACGCAGTAATCATTCCCTGACACAATGCATCTCATAAGATGATGCAGAATTTACATTGTTTCATAAAAAGGAACACAAAGTGGATTTATATGAATGTGGGGCACAGCAGAGATCTCAGAAGAAAAGCAGCTTTGTCTTTGTTGTTGTTTTAGTCCAAAGTTGTTTCCACACTCAAGGAGAAGCAAAAGGAGAACTCCCTCAGCAGGCTCAGTCACGAGCAGCTCACACTCCTCTCCAGAGAATACACACTTTCACACACACACACCTCACCTACATGTGGAAATGCTTCGTGTTTATTGGCCCCGGTCAGAATTAGGAACTCTTCCTCATCGTTCTTCAGAAATCCAGAGACAAAATGGAGATGGAACAGACTTTCTTTAAGGAGAACTATTTATGGTCTAAAATCAATGCAGGCCCTTCGATGTAATCGAGCCACGCTGGAGACAACAGGAATTTACTTACAGGTTTCCAGCACTGTTTCAAAAACAAGTAGCTCTCGCTTAAAGTACAGTGCTGCATAAATTTAATGCTTGCCCAAAATGCAAATGATCCATTTATACACAAGAACATAATCTAGTTCTATTATTTTTACTTGCCAAGAGAGAAAGAAAACTGACGGCAGCCCAGAATCATTTAAATTGCTGTCAGAGAAACTTAAAATGTGGCTTTTCTCCACAAGCAGGGAGAAAATTTGGCACAAGTAACTCCTCAAATTAACACTTTATATATTTTCTGCTTTTAAAACCAAAGTTTAAACATTTCTTGAAAGAATGTTTATTACCCACCACCATTCATGTGCAAGTTTTAGACTAAGATCAACTTACGTTGAGAAATAACCGAGTTGCACTCAGTCTGGTCAAACTTTGTATGTGCGATCTGTTACAATATCTAATGCTCAGACTATGTGTTTTGGATGACTCTCAGCTACTACCACATTCAGTTTTAGCTCAGTATCAACAAAACCGACCAAGTTATTGCCATTTTGGTGTTGGCTAGTATCACTTAGCTGTGGCAGCCATCTTGAATTAAATTTAGTTCAAAATTCAACAGGTTGTAATTGTATGTGAAATGAATATTGTCTGGAGGTTTCATCAAAATCCATTCAGTGGTTCATCTGATATTTTGCTAACAGACAATGCTGACTCTAACAATGCGAAAGTTTTAAGCAAAAATCTCACACAGCACTTGAATTATGTGAAAAGCTACAAACATGTTCAGTCTGCACAGTTGACTGAGTTATAGCTGTTTCTGTGTTTTCTAAAACACAAATAAGCAGTTTGTTGCTCCGGTGTGGGTCATCTGAAACAGTTTGAGATGTACACACTTTCTGCTTCAGTTAAATTAGTCCAGTGCTTCACGAGATGTTTAGGTAACAAAACATCTAGTTAAACATCTACACATTACTGTTTCATAAATCCACAAAAAAACTGCTCTAAAAGTATATTTGTATAGGAGCTGATGTAAAGTCCAGTTCAAACATTAATAAGCTCAATAAGCAAATGTTAAGTCTGTGTGAAGAACCAGTGCTTCACTTGCAAACAAACATTTGTCTTTTAAAATGTGTCAAAAGTAGCCCAAGTTAGTTATGACACCGGAAGTGGTTGATAATAATCCAACAACAAGACTCATCCCAGGAGAAGGAGGCTGCAAAGCCCCCAACTCTGCATCACCCCCCGCCACTATCCACCCCAGCAGGAAAGTCCCCCACCTCCCAGACCTCCCACAGCCACCGACCTTTCTGCTGCTTGAAGGACTGGATGGAGCCCGAGTGGTGCACCATGGCGGCGGTCGCTCCGGGCAGCCTGTGTCAGTCCCACTCCGTGTTTGGAGACGCCGAGCTGCAGGAGTCATGGGAGAACCTACGGAGGGCTGCGGCGCGCGTCCTCTCGGCTCCCCATCCTGCTTCCACAGGCGAGGATGCGCAAACCCGCAGCAACACCTGTCTCCGCTCCGCAGGCTCCCTCCCCTCCCACCTCTGCTCTTCCATTCACGGCTGCTGTTGTCATGGAGACGGAGGACATGGGAGGTCCTGAGACGGACCCCGTCCTCCTCCGTCCTGATTTACAGACTCCGGGTGATGAAGATGATGGTGAGGATAATGACCGGGACAACGTGTAATGTGTCTTATTATTGCATAACTGGGTTCAATAAATAAAAATGGTTGCTGATTTAACAGTAATTTTTGCTCTTATTTGTCATCCCGCTCCCCTAAAATAAAACAAACAAACAATAAATACAATCTATTGGGATTTCTCAGAGGAAGAGAGGCGGTGAGGAGAACCTCCAGTCAGACAGGTGGGCTCACAGCTCAGCTGCTCCTGCAGGAGGTTCAGACATGGAAACAGGAGCTGAGCGGAGCAGCTTCTGTTCCCAGCAGGGGACTGATTGACAACAAAGTCTCCATTTCTGCTTTAAACAAATTAAGACTTCAGAATGGAAACAACAACACATAAGGTTTTGTCATATATATATTTTTTTTTAACTCGATCTAGAGTTATTTAAAAGTTACATTTCTTTACATTTTGAAAGCTATCTGCCCATTTTATTGCACACTTGTTTCTTTTGTCTAGACAGGGGCACCTCCAGAACGTTTTTTTAAAGGGCAGCCGTGAATCTTGGGGTGGCACACAGAAACCAAAACAACAGCTTTTCAGGAGCTTTACTATAATACTCACGTCATATAGGCTATTTGAAAAAATGAAGAAGAAGAAAAGAGCTATAGGAGCTAAGGAATGAGAGAGGCCATCTTTGTTTCTTCTTTTTTCACTTTACAGATCATATTACAAACTGAGAACCGCACAGTCACTGAAGCTGGACCTCTCCTATCTTTAACCCAGCTTCACGCCAAAAACAATCTTTTCTTGAAATAATTCATTCTGCCCACTGCCTTGCAGGTCAACATTTTACACACAAATCTAGCAGGGTTTGTTAATGTTGGAGATTAACCACCCCGCCCCTGCGTAACTTTGACCCCTGCGATTGGCTCATTTTGGGACACGGTTTGCAGCTTCATCTTACTTTCACTTCCATCAGTCTTGATCTGTGGGGATATTCAGAGGAGTAGTCTGGCATCTGTCATGGAGCAAATACCATCTGGCTTCCTGCAGCACAGCAGGCCTCCACCCCCCACCCACTGTTCTGATGTTTACTGAGGGCCGGCTGTGCCAACCCCTCTAAAATATCAGTCAACAACCGAGCAAATGCTTTTAGATGCTTCACTGGGGCGCCTAATAAATAAATAGGCAGCTTCTCCACAGCAAGGTTAGGTCGTTTTAAATGGTACCATCTCGTTCCATGGCTGATGGTTGGGAGATGTAGGTCAGATGAATGAGCTGCAGAGGCTGCAAGGTTTTAGACAAATGAAATACTGCCACCCTGTGGAAAATAAGGAAGTGAGGCGATAAACAACTAAAAGCACCAAAAGAATCTTTACAAGTTTGATGCAGCGTGCAGCTGTTAGCTTCTGTTCACTCTGTACAAACTAAAATGATCTATGATGAGGCTCAATGAACCTTCTGATGCAGATCAAAAGTCAAACGAAATGCTTAAATTAAATACATTTAGTATTCATTTTATTCGGTCTGCTCAGCTTGGTCAAATGTATTTGGCTACAAATTATGAGACTCATCACTGATTAATTGATTCATAATTCTAGAAAAATGCACAAAATGTAATTTGCACAAGTTTCAGCTGTTTTCTTTAAAACTTTAGCATTAACAGCTGGAGCCTGTTAGCAAAATATCTCCTGAACCATTAAGTTTTAATGAAACTGTTAAAACGTAATCACTTAATGCACAGCTGATTAACATTTAAAATCAAACCAGTTCAAGATGTCTGCCACTGCTAATCAATATTAGCCAACACAAGGTTTAACCAAGTTTAGGACAACTTTTCAGCACAAGTTAATTTCCAGTTGAAACCCTTAAATTCCTTTAATGCTAGGCCTTAATTAAAAGAATAATTCAAGTCTGTATCAACCTATACCTACTAGTCAAAGCAGATGGCTGCTTGTCCTGAGCCTGGTTCTGCTGGAGGTTTCTTCCTGTTAAAAGGGAGTTTTTCCTTTCCACTGTCTCCTTTGTGCTCGCTCAGGATGAGAGACTGTGATGAAGTGAAGATTCAACGTGTCTGCTGGCTTCCTTAGATACAGAACTGTTTGGCTTCTATGTGAATGTTTGTGATTTGGCGCTAAATAAATCAACTGAACTGAATTATTATTAAACTGATTAATAAACGAAATGCTCCACTGATTTGTATTTTATGAAGTTATTTTTTTTAACCTTCATGTCTGCATGTGGGTTCTTCTTTCTGACCCGACATGTTTCAGTCAAAGAACCTTTTTTAAAATAAGTGAGCAGCTTCCCAGCGCTAGTTTTACCTATAAGGCATGTTTACGGTGGATCATGAGCTCCACGAGCGGAGCTGACTGTAAACATCTAGTGCAGGAAGGACAACTCACTGGACCAGCGGTCGGATTCTGTCTCTGGGTCTTCAGAGTTGGAACCGTCGCCATGCGAGGAGCTCCAGGATGCTGAACGGCTGACGGTGGGGTTGTAAGGAGTCTGCTTGTCGGCTCCAGAGGAGCAGGAGCTCTGTCTCTCCAGCAGGCGGAGGGACATATAGGTGTCCTGATGACATGGTTCTGAAAACACACGCATTAGATCATGTCTTAAACAAGGATTTATTTCACAGTGAAGCTTTTTCTCATTTTTTTCCACCACTTGTAGGATGTTATCAGTATTAAAATATATTTGTTTCTGGTAGTAGCTGATCACAGCAGCTGAGCTCCAGCTCCTGCTCATATTACTGCATCATACATTTTTAACACGACTTTAAAATCCCACTTTTCTTCTCTGATACCTGACACTAATGGGAGACAATAACACTTCAGGGTCTCTCTAACATTTGCTAACTGTACTGATGAACTTGATAACCCATCTTTTGGCTGAGGAACGTTTTCACTGATTGCTGAAATAAAGGTTCAATAGTAATGCAGGAAGTTTGCTACAATAAAGTTGTGTTTTCAGAAAACCTGAACAAATTGGAGCAGAGTGGTCTGGAAAGAAAAGATGTTGCATAAAATTAATGTTGTGTTTCCACTCCATGATGTAATGATGCGTGCTGGCATTTGAACTTCTTTACCTCAGAGGACACAGTTTCCATGATTTCCAAGAAGTCTTATCAAACAAGACAGTTTTCTTTTGTTCTGGATCTTGTCTAAAAGCATCTGACAAATGAAGAAGGTGATGGTGTTTCTGGATTCTGTTTAAGTGACTTTATGTTTTTCACGTGTGTGGTAAAGTTTTACTCTGACTGAATAAAAACAATGAAAATTGGACTCAGTGGCCCTCACTGGTTTTAAGAAGCTTTTCTGCTGAGTTGGAGCAGCAACTTAAACCAAGAGTGGCAAGTTTGATTTTTACCACTGTACTTGTTCATCCTCAACTTTGTTCCTTTAATCCAAATGATACGTTGAATGTCCACTTGGAATTCTTTTATTATGATTAATAATAGTATTATTTCCATAAAACACATTTTATTCACATTAACAGATTTTTTTGAATTTTATATTTGCTTTATGTAAGTGAGAGATTCCTACACTTGTTAAAATCCAGACTTTTATGTCGGTTCAATTGACCAACTGTTGCAAATTGAGCATCTCTCAAACGAATAGTTTTAAATACTTTTGCAAATGTGTTTGTTTTTTTCCTCTTCCTCAACCGAAACATGGTTCTGACATCAAAACACAAATTAAAAATCATTTTTAAAAACAAATCCCAGCTGGAGATCTTTCTGGGTGGAGTTTGCATGTTCTCTCCATGCATACGTGGGTTTTCTCCGGGCTGCTGATTGGTCAATCTAAATTGTCCCTAAGTGAGAGAGTGAATGGCTGATTGTCTCGTTTGTCTCTATGTGTCCCTGTGATGGACTGGAGACCTGTCCAGGGTGTCCCCCACCTCTCACAAAGGGACTGCTGGATATGGGCACCAGTGACCCCCGTGACCCGAAAAGGAAGAAGTGGGTAAAGATAATGGATAGATGGTTTAGTTTGATTTCTACATAAAGGTAAGACTAAATCATTTGAAAATTATTGTTTTAATATCCAATATTAATGTTGGATTATACCTGGATTATTGAGCATGAACTTTGGTGTTTTGAACCCCTTTGACATGACTGTCCGAGGGAGAGAGCGGGCCCCAGAGGAGAGGGCGGGCCCCAGAGGAGAGGGCGGGCCCCAGAGGCCATCTTAGCACCATCAAACTGTTTGTTTCCCGCTCTGGAGTAAGCTGTTGGTGGAGTATCAGTTTTGTTTGGTGGTTTCTCAGATTAAAGAAGTCTGTTGGATGACGGACGTAACGTCTCAGCACAAAAAATAAACCATTCAGATGACCTGACTGAACATTGTTGCATTTGAAAATTACTTAAATTTTCATGTTATGCCACATTTTACTGCTATAGAATTAGGTTAAAACATGCAAATAAATACGTTTTCTTCCTCAGTTTCCCCTTGAATGCATTTTTGTTTTTATGAACTCAAGGAAGATCCTTAAAACAGCATAAAAGAATCGAAAACAACAACCTGTGAACATCACAGACCCTCCACAGGTTCAACTTCAACTTCTAAAGGCACCTTTCTTTCACAAGACAATGCCACCTCCTCCCAGTATTTATTGATCAAAATATAACAATTTAAAACGTGCACAGTTTGTATGATTGAACCCAGGCGTGCAGACCAACAAGAGGAGCTTGAGTAAAAAATTAAACTTCTAATTTATTACACAAAACAAAAGGCTGACAAAACTACAAACTAACAAAACCCAAGGAGACATGGAGGAGAAACAGACATGGTATGAAGAGCATACACAGCCAGACTGAAGGTGGAGTAAAAACAGAGAGACTT